CATAATTAATCATAATATGTAAGGCCGAAGGAATTAATCAAGAATGGCTGAATTTTGAGCAAGTATTTTTAGCTTGTTTAAAGCAGAAGTGTGTCATTTCTGTGCCACTACACAGAACTGAGGCCGAAGAAGTTTGCCCAAACACTCCCTCAACCTGCCGCTGGTCAGTTAAACAGATGGTTAAGATGCTTGAACAAACAGAAAAATTGTATTACATTATATAATTATAATTAATAATGATTAAAAGTATTGGTTTTTATATAATTCTAAGTATAGAAATGATTTTATATTTTATGTTATAGCTGTGGTAATATCACAGCATACTGAAAACTTGAAATCAACATTCCATTTATAAGAGAAAATTCTAATTATAAGGGAAAGCAAGAAGAGCATTTGAAGAAAAAAAATTAGCCATTTGAAAATAGCTCAGACTTCAGGCTTTTAAAAACAATCAGACTGTTCACAGCCTGTGTGTGATGTTTTAATTTAGTGCTGGGAAAAAGGTAGTGCTTTGAGTTTCTTGCTGTGGATAGAAACACCCAACTGGGAGATTTTAAGAGAGGTAGTCCTAATCATGATTCTGCAAAGTCTTAATGAGAACAAAGGGCACTAAAAAATTCATTAAAGCCAGCTCAAAGCACACTGGGAAGCAATGGAAGTGAAACTGGTTAAGGCTGGAACCCAGAGGAGAGGGAAAGTAATTAGGAAAGGGCACATGTTTTTAGGTGGAAAGTCTCATGATGATAAGACAGAAATCTAAATGAAATCCTGCCTGGCAATGCACACAAGATATGGAGGAGGAAGTAAGCATGGGTATTTTGAATGATCTCTAAAAGCCTGTGTATAGTATATTTAATTAAGATGTCAACAAAATGTTTGCATAATTTACTTTCTTAATTTCTTTGCACTCTGCTCTACAAACGCAATGGTACACAGATATGGACTGCTGCTCAACAAGACTGCTTCTCAACAAGCTAGAGAGTTTGGCAGCAGTGCCATAGGGAGATTCTGGATAAAGACTACAGCACGGCCTTGAGTGCAACATCCAGTGGTTAACCCACACTCAGTGTACTGCATTTGAAGAACGCAATGTGTAAACCCCTATGTATGTGTGTGTGTGTGTGTGTGTGTGGTGTGTGCAAAATTAAAAAATGTGCAGTAAAGTTTGGGTTGTCAGAATTTGTATGCCTCCCTTTAATTTTCTATTTAGACGCTCTGATATTCTCTGTAACTTTCTACATTTCTTATTTTTTTTATTAAGTACATACATGTGAAAATGTATGTTTAGTATACTTAGCATGAAATAAATGTATTTCAGATGCATTTAAGTATATTTATTTTTCACTAGGGCAGCAAGCCAAAATCTAGGTTTGTCTTGACAAACTTTACCTGTCATCTTAATTTGTACTTTTCCATTAACACTGAATGGAGGTGCTTAGATTTAAAGCTCAGAATACTAAAAGAATGTTCACAAATTTACCACATTTCTGTTATTATTAGAGAGAAAGAAAGAGAGAATATACAAATACAGATACATTTTTGTGGCAATCATAAAATTGGCACAAAAATAACACTAATGTATTTTTGTAAATGGCACTGTAACATGTCAATTACTGCTTGGGGAGGTGCCGATTCGGCTTGCAACATGCCAGATGCTACATCTCAAAAGACTATGTAGAATTAAAATGATGAGCATGAACATGCAGTTGGCTTCCAAATACACGGTACCAAACTAGGATGAACTAAAAGCTAAATTACGCTGACAATTGGCAAGCACAACAGACTGGTATTTTGAGATGCAACTGACTGGAATGGACAAATTCTTTCACTGTCATAATATCTGTGTGTTTAACAGATACAGAGATATGCGTTAGCATTAAAAAAGGAAACATGGGGGAGAAAAAGATTCAAATACAAGCTAGAAGACTGCTTAGGGTTAAAAAAAAAAAAGAGGTTTTGTTTTTGAGAAGGTGATAATATTGTCTCTATCAAAAACAAAAGTAAAGATATTTTGAAAGTCACTGGGCTCCAAACAATACTGGACCCCACTGACTTTCACTGTTTGGACAAAAAACACTGACATATGAATAAATGATGAAAGAATATTTATGTTTGAATGAAGTGTGCTTTATATAGACACCAAATTGAGACTTTTGCCAAAACACTAAATTGAACTGAATTGATAATCAGAATTTTCAATATGATCTAAAACTGTTTACTTCAAACACTTCATTGTTCAGATTATCTCGGCTTTGAAAAGCAAGCTTAATAAATCTGACACCCTTGCTGCAATACAGGGCTTTCAAAATGGCATGTTCATCTGTCTAAAAACACCATTAACCTAAAAAGCATCAAACAGGAGCTAATACATTCTGCATTGTCTTTTGGGCAGGTTGTCACAGGAAATGCGTTGCACTTCACGTTCAGGATTAAACAGCATGAAAATGTAACCATGCCTTTCAGATATGAGTCAGATCGTAAAAGCAGCTGCTGTGTGACAACCCAGACTTGTGGGTAGTAACTTTTGGTGAAGCGCCAAAGGAAACACACGACCTTGTGTAAGTTTAAAACAGAATAATAAACAACTTCAACCTCTGGATGGGTTTTATCTGGCAGTTGCTTGCTCTTTTCCCTGTTGCATAATTATGGAAAGAAATGAATCAGAGTTACTTCTGTAAGTATATGTTTAATTCCTCCTGAATTTATTGAGTGTACATTGCATGCATATGAGTTGATGTAATATGAAAATATAAATCATTTGCCATTTTACATCTCACTTTCTCATTGACAGAAGACTGGGTGAATTCATTAAACAGTTCTGCATGTAGTCTTGGCACTCAAAATCCATTAAACATGGCACTAAATATGTTAAAATTGAACTCTAATATTTAAAGTCACTGTCTTTCTTTTCAGTGCATATACCCTTCTTATTATAAACAATATGCAGAAAATCCTATTTGTGCTACTACTGCAAAGCGGCAAAACAGGTGTTAAAAGAATTTCTTTTGAAGAAAAGATAATCGAAAGATTAAAAAAAGGGCATTATAACTTGACATATACACTACTGTTCAAAAGTTTAGGATCGGTAATATTTTTCTAATGTTTTTGAAAGAAGCCTCTTGTGGTCACCAATGTTGCATTTATTTGATCAAAAATACAGTAAGAGCAGAAATAATGTGAAATATTATTACAACCTAACATAACTGTTTTCTTTTTTTAATGTATTTTGACATGTAATTTATTCCTGCGAAGGTAAAGCTGAATTTCTGGTCTTCAGTGTCACAAAGATCCTTCAGATCCCTCAGAAACTATACTACTATGTTGATTTGGTGCTCAAGAAACATTTCTTTGTTTTGTCACAGTCTAAAACAGTTGTAGAGATTAATATTTTTGTGGAAACGGTGATACATTTCAGTTTCATTAATGAATCGAAAGTTCAAAAGAGCAGTATTTATTTTAAATTAAAATCTTTTGTAAAATTTTGAAAAATAAGATGTATGTCTTTACTGTCACTTTTGACCAATTGATTGTTTCCTAGCTGAATAAATGTATTAATCACTTAAAATAAATGAATAAATAAATAACAATAATAACGTACTGAACTCAGACTGAAATAGTAATGTACAGTTATGTAGTCAAGCATACTTTCTGTATTTTAAAGCGTCGAGTCAGGAACCAGATTCTAGAAGTCTGCTTAATCCTCCATATCTGAACATTCACAACCAACTTGTGTGCAAATTGTGTTGAGGTGTTCAGCACATATTCTGTGTGTATCGTGCAACTAACAGATTCTTTAGTGAATCAGGCCCTAAAACAACAGAAACACTGCATACAAATAAATGGCAATATTAGCGAATACTATTTATTCTTATTGAATTCACCAAACAACAGTGAATTCATCAAACAACATTTCATTTCCTGCCGCTGCTGCTCCCGAGCACCAGCATTTTGACTATTTCCTCGGGTCTGAAATTAATTGTCGAAGCCCTGCGATACTCTATGAAGGATTAATGAACATGCCGTATCCTCCTTTTGTTCAACTGAAGATCTAGTAGCTTTAGCTGGCCAAATTAAGACCCATTAAACCAAACTTGCTTATGGTTACTTTTAATTTGCTCCTCGCCATTCCACATAATTAGAGCTCGCATTAGGCCCAGGCCTCTCAAAAGGTGAAGAGAACTGCACAGAGAGTAAATCCTGAAGCATGAGGGCCAGTTGTGCTTTTCAAAGGCTGTCTAAACCCAACGTCTCTCCGGGTGCCTCCAAATGAGATCAGAGCTTTTGAGATTTGGCTTCTTGATAATATTAACTCTCCTCCCACTATTTCTCCATCAGTCAGGTCCCCCACCTCCCATACCGCACCAATCAAATCATGTGGAGTAAATGGATAAACTGCTGCAGGACACTGCGTCTGTAAGTGTCCGTGTTTAATTTAAGGGCCGTCAATGACTTTGCATGGTGACCTTTAGGTTGAGCTGACCACAGTGCACAACACAGCGCTCTTTTAATTAGAGGAACCTTTAAAGTGTCTTTGTGTGTAACTAGATAGAAATTCTGCTGTGCTGTATTTCACAGGAATTGCGCTTTTATTAAATTAGCCTTGATGATTGGATAGTGTGACTGCAGTGCATTTAAGAACTACAGAACTATATTTCTGACAAATACTGTGTATACAGCAGACTACACTGGACATACAGTTTATGCTATCAATAGTGAAGCAAAAAAAAAAAAGTTCTGTTTTGTTTTTTGGCCATACAAGAAAAGTCCATTTATTTTTATTTTTTTCAAAAGAAAGAAGTGCACACAGGTTTGGAACAACATGAGGGTGAGTAAATGGTGACAGAATTTTCATTTTTGGGTGGAGTATCCCTTTAACTTTACTAAATTATAAACTGTTTGTTGGCGTATGTGGAATTATATGAATGATATATGTATGATGAATTATATACCTTCAGATTAATTATATATTTATGCACTAGGTTGCTTGGCTAAATAAATAAATAAATAATTCTGCATTAAGAGTTACAGGCTTACGAAATGAAATACTTGGTGGAAAGAATTCAATTCACTTTGTTTGTTAGCACAATAGATATTGTTCCAAAGCAGCATTAGAAAGAATGCTGGCAGTTCCAACAACAACAACAAACAACAACAATTCCCTAAAACATTTAGTAGGTGAAAAAGAAACTTTGTACAAACCAAGAATCGCTTAGTTGAGGCCATCTTCTTGCGCTGGCACATATTTAAATATATGTATAAGGCATACTGCATGTTACATCTAAATTGTGTATGGTGATTATTAATAAATCAAATTTTTGTTCAGTATTAGAGTTTTATCAGATTAGTATTCCCACCGTTATAGAAAAGCCATATGCCACTTTCAGTCAGGGACGTGCCAGGGCGGGAAGTGCACATGCTACGACTTGTAATTTCCTGATCCTATCCTTCTCTCTTTTCCTTATCATATACTGTCTCCTCACTACTGTCCTTTCTATATAACTGGCAAAAGCTCTAAAATAAAATTTAATAAAGCAAGCCAGTGGATGATATGTGGTATGATTAACAGTTAACTCCACTAACCAAACAAGCTAAAGAACACCACTTTAGCCTGTTAGGATCACTGTAACATACTGTACAGGCTCCAGTGGCACATAATTCATATTTCCGAACTGGACATACAAACTTCTGATTTAATACATCAAAGAGAAAGGTACAGAGAAAATTCCACACCACATTTCACATTATCAGCACAATATTGCTATTAAAAATGGGTGAAAATAAGTCATCTGTGACCCTTAGCACTGGTAAAATCAAGCACTTAGTAAATGTTCACCTGAAGGAAGCCTTAAGGATCTGTCCTGATGTAATCTCTTTGGTGTGGTTATTGTAGCCGTAGAAGAGGTCCCCAAACACAGTCTGGTTGGCCGGGATGTCAGCTGTGTCCCCGCAGTCCACTCCCTCAGCGCAGGCTTCTGACAGCGGCTGACATGAGCGACCGTCTGCTCCTCTCTTATAATCTTCAATACATCTACAAACATATGGCAATGAGAAAAAGATATGAGCTAAAGGAAGAGAAGAAAGAAGAGTAGATGTCTGCCAAAGTAAGATTATTCCAAAGAAATTATACCTTATGATACTTTTCTTTATTTATCATTTTAGAATAATAGTAAAGTCATCAAAAACTTTGAAATCATACAAATGAGAATATGGGACTTGTGCAGTGACCAACAAATGTCAAATCAAAATGATCTTATTATTATGATTTTAGCTGCTTCTAACATCCAGTATACAGTACACTGCCAATAAAGTAGGTTACGTTCATTGACTTGACTATGCAAAGTACTGGTGATGGATGATTTACTATAATTTTGTTTAAAAGTAGAAATAAGAATGAAATCATGTTTATTTATTATGCATTTTATATGGACTATAATGGATACTACAATCAAAGAATTCATGGAATCAGTTATCAATTGAAAACAAGCATAAACATTGAACTTTTTAAATGAACAAATATGTATCTTTAAACATCTTACCATGAATAGGGAACCATTAAGATGCACACTGTAACAAACATGATCTTTCAAAGTTGTAAATAAAACTTAAAATTATTGGAATATGCTTTACTATACTATTTAAGTATTTCTATTTCAAAATTTCACATTTAATTCAGTGAGTCACTTGCCATTTATTTGTTATTATTTGTGAAATTTACTAGCAATTCATGAGTAAAAAAAATTGTTTCACGGCCATTTTTTTTTCAGCGTATTGCAATTGCAGTTAAATTAAAAGATTTTATCACATTACACAAAATATTATGTATGGCATCAATGTGTACATTATGAATGCATGAACATTTATAGCGTTTTGAATTCATATTGTGTTATTTGTCCCATAAGTTTATTTTTACTTTATTTTATTTATTTATTTATTTTGGTGGGGGGTTGGTCCCAAATCATAAAGACATTGCTTACTGAAACAGAGCAATGTGAAGAACTAGTTCGGCATTCAAAACTACCCAGGGGTAATGATCTCACAGCAAAGCATCTGTCATGAATTTAAGACTGGCAGTTCTTTTTATTTACTGCAAAACAGTATCATTCTAATAGTGTGACGGCTCACAGGAGTCTTTTATATTTATGGGACTTTGAAACTAAGCTGTCACGTCTGCTCTGTACTACACGAGCAACAGAGAGAAAGAGGTGTCAGGGCATAAACGCTCAGTCTCACTTCTCTTGGTAACACACTACTGTTTTACAGGAAGCTGTCATCAGCGTAGGTGAGACACATCCTCTCGGTTGCACATCCGTAACACAGGCAATGATTTAAGTGGCTTCAGATTGCCTGTCACATTATTAGGATCTCCAGAGAAAAAGAGAATTATGCGCATTTGCCAACTTTAGTCGAAGCGACATGCCTATAACAGCGAATGATCTCTGAGACTCTGAATAGGTCAGGAAAAAGGTTGTGTTAGCAGGAAAGAAGATGCAAGAAGATGGCTATTTATTCTGCATGGGTCATATTCAATACAGCTGGCACATAAAAGTCTGGAAGTTCAAAGAATGGTTAATGTTGTGTGATGCATGTGATGGCATGTCAGAGTAACAGCAATTCCACCAAGACATGACAGGACAGAGAAATGGCATTTCAGTTGAGTTCTCGTAAAAAGATTAATATATACTTTTTTTTTTTTTAAATAAGGAAGAAATTAATACTTTTATTCAGCAAGGATGCATAGAATGGATCAAAAGTGACAGTAAAAACTTTTACATAGAAAAAAATAAAATAAAATAAAATCTTTCCATTTCAAATAAATGCTGTTCTTTTGATCTGTCTATTCATTAAAGAATCCTGAAAAAAAGTATCACAGTTCTACAAAATTGATAAACTGCACAACTGTTTTAAACATTGATAACAATAGGAAATGTTTCTGGAGCACCAAATCTGCATATTAATAATGATTTCTGAAGGATCATGTGACTACTACTGAAGACTCTAGTAATGGCTGCTGAAAATTCAGCTTTACCATCTCAAGAATAAATTATGTTTTAAAAATATATATAAAATAGAAAACAGTTGCTTGAAATTATAATATTTTACAATATTACTGATTTTACTGTATTTTTGATCAAATAAATGCAGCCTTGGTCAGCATAAGAGACTTTCGAAAACATTAAAAAAATATTTTATTTTTATTTTTATCTGACCCCAAACTTGAAAAATGTTACAAACTGCAATAATTATTATTTTTAATTTTTAATTTTTTGTCAGCATGTGACAAATATTGTTTAGCAAGCTACAGAAAAATAACATGTAAATTCAGCTTGCATATCTTACCAACCACATTTTTTTGCAGGTGAATGTGTGATGATATTAGCATGTTTCAACTAGTTCAGGTTTGCCAGTTTTTAATTTGAAGCCAAGTTCACACTCAATTTAAATAAACATATAGACAGAAATGTGGGAACAGGTAAAAATTTGGCAATTCACACTCAGACACAAACTGCCACTGCAGACTAAAAAAGAATGTGGAAAAAAAAGTTACTGTAAGGTGCTGTGAACTGCATGAATAATAATTTGAACTAACCATAATGCACTTACTGTGAATTTCAAGACATTATTCAAAAGAAAACAGCAGACATTCAGTCTTCAAAAATAGCAGGTTGCAAAAAAACACATACACATACAAAGCACATACCCTGCTGTTTAAAAAAAAAAAGCATGACTGTGATCATGAAAAAAAAGCCCTGTTAACATGTCCAGATCTAGTTATCATATAGTCTTTAAGCATGTATAAAGTGTGTAATCTCACCCGCAGAACATCAGGATGTTGTAGAGAGTAGGGTCCTCCTCCAGAGGTGCCAGCTGCTGAAGGCACAGCTGTTCACAGCCCCCATTAAAGCCGTCAGAGCAGTCAATGACAATGTGGTGGTCATAGCAACCGCTGCCATCCTTCATCGGGCTCAAACCAGGAGGACACTGAGGAAAAAAAAATTAATAAATAAAAATTACCTTTAAACATTCTCTGATCTGTCATAATATCCCTTTATCTTTGGTAAATGGTAAATTCAGCATACATGGCTGCATCACAGCCATAAGCAATAATAAATAAGATGCTTATTTGTGTTGCCGTGTGTTGTACTATTGTGTATTTGGTTTTCCAATATTAACAGGATTTCAGGAGTACTGTTAGACATGATGTACAGTAGGTAATAGGACAGATATACTGTAAGTCCACACTGCAAAAAAAAAAAAAACTTCTCAAAGTTGTAAATAAAACAAAGATTACTGCAGTATGTTTTACAAGAAAATATATTTCAGTCTTTGTGTTACTTGTCATTTCTTTGCAATTATTTGTGAAATAAATTTACAAGCAATTTCTGAGTGAAAATTGTTTCTACACCTATTTGTTTTCATATTATATATACTGTGTACTGTATGTGTGTGTGTGTGTGTGTGTTAATTTTAAAAATAACATTCCCTAACACTAAAGTTACGCTACCTTCTCAACTTCATGCCTGTTTTCTCTGTCTTTTCCCCAAGCTAGTGATGCCGAGTCCAGGTTTGACAGGTTTATTTTTACCTGCCTGGAAAATGGGATAAAATGTGCCTTCACACCTTAAGTTATAAGCTTCATATCCTCTTTCTTGCGGCAGGTGCCCTACAGTAGATTCAAGTTGCTTACATGAAATAGCCTGCAACAGTTGAGAAAGATTTTCCTGCAAAAGAACTGCTTCCTAGGAAGCCATATTTTGTAACGGGAAAGCAAGACAATTTAATTTCTCCAGTATTTTGGTTAGAGTGAAATTTCTACAAAAGAACCAGCTTCTCTACAATTCAACAAGTCGTTCTCTATTCAAAAATCATTAGAATGAGGGGTTGAAAGGGCATAATTTCGATCACAGTGGGCGTTGATTCAATAATTAAGCAGCTTTTATAATAAAATGCATTAAGAGAGAGTAACATTGTATAGCTCCTTAACAAAATGAAACTAAACACTCTTTTTTCCTATCTTATAATTAAATTGCTAATACTTTTCGGCTATTAATACCAGGTTTTTGAGGGGTAAAAAGGAAATGACAAGTCCATCACAGCATGAGATACACCTTGCCATCCCGCTTTCTCAGTTTCTTCAGTGGCAGGTTGGGTGTAAAGCACATTTTCTGACCGCCAACTTTTCACTTGACCTCATTTGTATTAGGGATCAAAGCCCAGATGTTGGTAATGCATCTTAGTAGCACATCTTGTCCCTGGATGCATCTGTATTGATTTTGTCAGTTAGCTACAGCTGACAAGACACCTGATGTATTACCAGCAATGTAGAGAGCGCAGGGCACCGAGTCTCTTAACTCATCTGTGGCAGATTCCTTAAATCACAAAGTCCCAGTTTGATCAGCTGAACAGAGGACATTATTGAGGAACGGGGAGGGTTGTTCAACAGAAAGCAAATTTTTCACATCATTTACCCGCTCATCCTCATTTGGCATTATGACAGTGCTTTAAAGGTGCGTTCCGCAAGATTTTTGAAATAAAAATGAATAATTATTCAGTAGTTTTTATTTTATTTATATATGTATGTATTTATTTATATTAAATTTTTGCTTCTAAGCTAGACAGTAAAGAAAAACAAAAACAAAAACAGCAATACATTGCGATTTTACCAGTTTTTTTTTTTTTTGGCCAAATAAGCAATGTCTTTTATTGACTCTTCACTACATATAAAAACCATGCCACAAGATTTTTGTACATTTGTAAAAAAAAAAAAAATGTACAGCCTTTTTAGTGGGCTAAAATGTGAAATGATACATATTTACGGTGATTGATTCTGCCTTCCGTTCCAATTTGTTCTTTGTGACCATAGATTTAAAAAGAGTGGATGAGTCAAAGCATTAGTGTGAGGAAATGGACAATTTATTATAATTATTTAAAATGCATTGCTCAAATTTGAAGAGAATGAGTTTCCAAGGAAAGCATACATGAAAATGGCTTGAACATAGCTTGTCCAAAGCACAGAGGAAAAAGGAAGAAAAAAAAAGGCCAAATTTGTTCTGGAATGCCCTTGCATCCATCTCACAGTGAATAATGCAATTGCTAGTTCAATATTATTACAGTCTTCTATCTGAGCTCAAAGCATCCTTTATTGAAAAGCACTTTGTAGCACAGAGGACATGGTGAGACAGTTAATGATGCCAGAGAAGTCATGAAGGTTTTAAATTCAAGATAAACTGAAAAAGCCCTGAACTACTGAGCCTTTTAATCTCATTTCCAAATGAGGATCTAGTCCCACAGCTTTCCGAAGCTTAAGAGAATTGCCCATGTGATTTTGTCATACAGAAACAAATCCCTTTCAGACTGTCGAATACGCTATGCAAATCTAAATCAGAATCAGAATGAGCTTTATTGCCAGGTATGTTTACACATACGAGGAATTTGTTTTCGTGAC